AGCAAAAAGCCTACTGAACTTTTCGTGTCCTCGTCGATACGTGTCTGTGAGTTTCAGACAAAACAAATACAGCCTTGTGGATATTATGATAATAAAACAATCATCTAGTACATAGTATTTTTGCTTTTTGTATATGTAAACACTTGAGAATTTTCAAGGTTCTCAGATAGATTATCATTTGTACAATTGCAATCACTAGCATACACTAGCAAAATACTTGATCTATCACATGTGACCTTTACATACTGAGTGCACTTTTTAAATAACATTTCTGTGAATTGTATCAACTTATGCAATGATATGCTGCAGTTGACATAAAAGGAATTAAAGTACGCATTTATTTTCCATTTTTGTGTAATCCGTCTGATTTCTGTGGGGATTAACAGACCAATCATGAATAATGAGTGAGTGCTTACAGGTTGGAATCTACCAGCAGTTGATGTGCAGTGATAGGTGCCGGTGACAGCTGAATGAAGAGGAGCATCAGGGGAGTAATTTCTCATATAAAAGGGTGACATTTGTTGTCTGCCACTGAAGTATTTCTGGGCAAGGAGAATGATTTTGCATGTTGGGTCAGTGAGATTTACTTAACTGAACCTGTAAACTGTAACAGACCCAAATGGACCATCAGTGAAAGGAAGGTAAGATATTATACAGTATAATATTATATAATGCCGTGTAATATACAGTATATATATATAGAGAGAGAGAGAGAGAGAGAGAGAGAGAGAGAGATCACAGTTTGTATCAGAACAAATAAACAATATTTCATAAATATTAATTACCTGTATCCTTATTTATATAATCTATATCATGGTTTACCTAAACCATGCAGAAATTCTGCAATATTTCATTTCTAATACATACATACTGGAGATCTGTCCGTGTATATTTACAGTTCAGAAAGCTGTGTCAGTAAATTTTCAAATCTCTTTTCTATTAAGGATTGGTAAGTGTGTAACAATCAATTCACTATACATACAATATGTGATATTTTTTATTATCTTAAAGAGTGTAACCTTGTCATAAACCTGTATTCATTTTAGATTGTTTGTTGTGGATAATCTAAGGTATTGGTATTATGCAAACTCTTACATAGTTTGTTGTGCATAAGAGGGATTCAAGAATATTTACTAGTATTCTACTAACATCAAATTCCTAAACAGTGGCTCTGCAAAACCCTCCACTTCATCTTGTTTAAATTTGTGCCTGGCATTTTATTTTTCTTTGAAGTGTCCCTTCATTGCAAAATGGATGAAGAGACAGAGGATCTCTCTGGGACACAACCACTACCAGATGACTCTCAAACTGGACCTGCCACTGATCTATTGAAATCTAAAGCATCTTTCTCCTCATGCTCCCCTGCCCCTGGTTCAGCCGTTTCTGCCCTGCAATCTAAAGTCAAAGCAGTGTCCCAGAGAAAGTTAAAGGGGATGGAGAGAGATGATCTATTACCTGAGGGTTCCGCAGAACAATCAGTGAAGAAAAACCAAGACGATGAAGCGCAGTCTACTTGTCAAACAGAATACACTGACCAGAGCAATAAATCAAGCACTGGAGATAAAGAAGTGCTCGAACCCATCTCTGGGATGCAAGGAGAAAATGAGACTTGCAACAAAAGTGGGAAAGACAGCCCATCTCAAGGTGCACCAGAAATGTCCCGTGGGATTTGTGAAGGGTCTAGCCTAGAAAACATTGCAGTGGGTGTAGCTGGTGAGCCTCAAGGGGACATCGCAATGAAGTCAACGATATCTTCTCCCAGGCACTGGGCTCCTCCCAAGGGCTTTTGGCGAGTGGCACGACCAGAGACGCTACTTCTTAATTCAGAGAGTTCCTCCACACTGGTAACTCCAAAGGATGTACCACCCACAAATGAGGACAGTCCAAAATGGAAGCCAAAACTAAAGACTGTGGGCACAATTGTTCACAAGGAGCTGCAAAGGTCCGACAGCTTGGAAAGTGCTTTTCATAGGTGTCTCCAGAAGGAGACTGCATCAGCAGATCCAGTTAGTGTGCTGTGGAAAGCAGACAGTTGGGAGACTGTGTGCTCCAGGGGAGGGTCTTTGTCTATTGCAGAGAAAGTTGAGATGAACAAGACATTCCTGAACAAATACCAAGTTGATGCTATCGAGATCACAACTTCCATGCGTCCAGAGGGACAGTATCAACCACCAAAGGAGCCGCACAGAGGTATGGCCTTTGCTTGAAGAGATAGTCTACCCAAAATGAAAATTTTGTCATCATTTACTTACTGTCATGTCATGACATTCTTGTGGAACACAAAAGCAGATATTTTGAAATACAATTAAAGTGAATTGTGTCCAATCTTGTTTGCATACCAGCATTCTTCAAAATACCTTCATTTGTGTTCTGCTAATTGCCTTGTGCAGTTTTTCATTGTATTTATGATTGAAACGGCATTAGTCACCCATTGGTCACTGAGCCAAAACTCACAGCAGGGAGGTTAGTATGATCTCTCAGAACAGATGTGCCTGCCTGTCACCATAATTACAGATGTGGGGGGGAAGGGTTTGGGAGAAAGTGGAGCAGCGGAGATGATAGTGTTTTAATACCATATATCATAGGGATAGATGGGCTGAAATCTGCCAGCTTGGTTTTCTGGAGTGTTGTGTAACAGCAGGCTTCTGGCTCGGAAGACTACAGGATATTGGTTCAGTGGGTTTGTACTACACTTCCACTTGCACGTAGCATCCTTATGTTGAACAGATAGGTCAGATGTTGAGTCCAGTCTTGTAGCGGATGACCAAAATTATAAATGTGTTTTTTGCAAATTATTAATACTCATTCAAATTATATCACATATCAAATGGGTTTGAGCAGTGTGTTTTTGTACAGATTTACCTCCCTACAAAGTTGGTGACTGGGACTCAGCAATTATCTCAAAGGACCCTGTGTTTAACTATAGGTAAGAGACATTGTCCTCAATCAAGCACATCATTGAATACGGTTGATCATTTAAGATTAAGGCATGCACACAACATGCCCATGAAAGAGATTATATAAGACAGATTTACGCTTCTGACATTCTGTATGTTTATTTCTGATTTGTGGGAAGTATGGTGCAGTATCATCATATTGACAGTCTAATGTTCGTGCAATGTTCATGGAAATAATAGGTTGTAAGCCTTTTGTAGTTTTGGATGGCTGTTGAGACATGAAAATATTTGAAAAATCCTTCATAGCATTTTGAATAATCATTACACTTACTTAGGAGAGAGTAAAATTTATTTTCTGTTTTGGACAGACCGCTGATCTCCGCCACTGAAGTAACTCTTAGTCCACGTCATGAACAAGCAAAGCATCTGTTAGAAAGAGCTCGATTCAAAGCACGTTCTCAAAACCATAAGAGTGAAACCCCCAACTGTCTTGATCAAAGAGAGGGCCTGTAAGTCACCTCAACACTTTCTATTGCCAAATTGTTGTTGCCTCACATCATGGTTGTCTTTTTAAAGTCATCTACTACTTTTTATATTACTGTGAAAAAAACAAAGCAATCCCCTCTAAAGTCATGACCCATATCCTGTGATATACAGAAATATTCATTTAAGCAATTCATTCAGAGCTGTGTTCCTGTGTTATATAATCACATATACTGCATATAACACATATTTGGCAAGCATATTTATTAATCCTATCTTATCTTGGAACACAAATAAAGGTTGATGATCAAATAAATCAAAATCCTTAATTTGTGTTAATCTATTTAACTTCAAACAAATAATGCATCTGCTGTTTGTTTCCATTCAGGTTTGAATCATAATTATGTAACATTATGCAGTGATGCCATAGAGATAATGAAATGATACAGATAGTGATTGCAGATCTCCAGGTGTTCTGTAAAAGCTCTTGTATCTGCTTAATAGAGAGGTCTTACCAGTTAATGTGTCATCTGCACTGCACAGTGCTGTTCTTGTCACGGCTCAAGAGGAGGTTACTTCACCTCTTCAGTCACTGGATGTCCAGGGCAGGAACTATGAATGTGGGTTGCGCTCACTTCGGTATGGCCAGTCGCCCACACGAGTGCGTTTCGAAGACGAGTCAGAAAAGGAGGCTGAGCGACGATACCTGGAGCGGGTGCGTGAGCGTGGGCCAGTGGTGGCTGAAAAATCCCACTCCACCCAGCAGCTGAAGGCAGAACCGGTATACAACATCCCAGAGGAAAGCAGGGGGGGAGCAATAAACTGGGTAAACATTGGTATTCCTGTGGCCATATTAACCAAAGAGGGAGAGTGTCTGGCTGCCTTGGTGCCAAAGGACAAATTGCTCAGGACATGTGAAGCATGTGGAAGCATCTTGGGACCTGCACAGACCAAAGATTGTCATTCCCAGCTAACAAAATGTATCGTAGATTCTCAGGAGAAGGCAGTCCCTCGATGGGTAACCCCTAGCCAGGCATGTCACCAAACCATCCACCCAAACGTCAACCTGGCAGAAAGTGTAGAGCGGCGAGGTGTAGGAGGTGCAGGAGATGCAGGCGAGAGCATGTCAGCTTTTGGGAAGCTTCGAAGAAGGAGCACGAAAGGAGAAAGAAGAGTTGAATGCAGTAATGGTCCATATGCTCTGAGTCAGGATCTATGGGCTCAGAGAAGGAACTCCAAAACCAGGTCAAGTCTGGAGGATAAAACTACTCGCTCTAAATTGAAGACGTCTGCTCAAGGTGCTACAGAAACCTCATCTGAACTTGAGAATAAGGACATATCTAGCAATGTCAAGGAGTCTTCCCCCTACCTCCCCATCAAATCGGCTCTGAAATCAGGTTCCAAGGGTCGGCCAATAGGGCAACGGGTGGTCAAGCTAATGCCCTCAGTTCAGTACCACCTAATTCACCTTGACCACAAGCTGGATGGGAGCTCTCACCACGAAAACATACAACCTGAAGAGCACCTCAGTGTCAAGCTCAGTGCCTCCCCTCAGGTTCATCCAGTCACCTCAGGACTGACTTCTTGCAACAGACCATCCTCTCTCAGGTATTCCTCATCTGTGCTGACCACAGACCTCCAGGCTTTAACAATATGGAACTCTGCAGGCGACCTAGTCACAGGTAAGTTTACTTGGAACAAAAGTTAAATTATGAAATTAGCCCACTAGCAGACTCAAAACATTTTGGTCAAGATGTCACACCTTACCAACAGTTTTTTGCGGAAACCTTAATGGTCTTCTCTCGTTGCTCTAAATTAGCTAGGAATACAGATCATATTCATGAACAACAGGTTTAAACAACCTGATTCAGAACTGGTTTATCGATTTCTACTCCAACAAGTTTTGCTCATTCATTTGTTGTGCATCAGGTCATTTGGCAGGTGAGATTGTGTGCAGGGATCCCAGAAGCACTTGCACAGCACTTGTTCCCTCAGATTGCCACCCAGCTTTGAGAGCCATGGGTACGTCAAAGGTAGAAGACCTGAGGGCAGAACTTCTGAGAGCAGATTACCGAAAGGCTGAAATACATTGGGATGACAGTTTAGTTGTGTCAAGGTAAGCTATATCTTAAGAAGTCCCTTACTTGGAACTCTTGATCTTGACTATGGGCTATAGATAACTGCAGTTTTTTATATACTGTATGTTGACAATTGCATTATAAAGTACTCAAAGGTTCCTACAGAGGTGAAACTCACCTGACGAAGTGTCCTAAGTCCTAGATGGGTTAAAATAGCCAAACTGGTAATCTAGTATATGGCATGACCACATTCGCAATGCAACCATATTAAATTGTTTCCATTATAATCAATGGAGTATCTGCTGTCTACACTGCAAGGATGCAACTGCAGTTTTGTTAATTAGTATGTTGTATCTGTAGTCACATCACTCCACTCTCCTGATGCAAGGTAAAACAGTATATATACAAATACATAGTATCGGTAGTAGTTGTAGTATTGTTTTGTTTTGCTTGTCCTCACATTTTTGTGCTCGTACATTCGCATTTGTGCAAAGCCAACAACCCTAGCATACATGAATTTAGTTTGAAACACAGTTTTGGTTTGAGCACAGTTCGAAGGAAAGATTAATATGAAAGCTGTCATGTGGTCCTGGGAGTGCACCGCAGTGCCGAACCTGAAACTACATAGGAGGTGGTTTGATTTCAGTTGCAATGAAACGGTTTGTGTGAATGTGAAAGCAGCTCGAACTCGGGTCTGCACTTGTTCCGGAAATAAAGTAATATGCACAAGTGATTTAGCCAGTGATGATCCAGTTTGGCACAGATAAACCAGCAGTTGGTAGATGTATTAAGAAGTGCATAATTTCTACAATTAATGACACTGACCATCCCACTAACCAAGAACCTATTTACCCAAAAATTACCAACAGTGAGTTAATAAACCAACAAAATGGCCCAACAGTCTGAACCCAGTGATTGGGTTAAAAAAAACAGCATTTTTAGAATTTACTTAATTTTAAGTACAAGATAAGCATCTTATAGTCATATACAGGTTTCATTATGGACATTATTGACTCCTTCTCTTATGTGCAGGAGAGCAGGGGAGCGAGAAGGGCGACCTAAGCTATCCCTCCGTCGTTTTTTCTCAGCCATGGGACTGAACAGTATGGGTAAGCTGGTTAAGGGCAGCCGGTCCAACAGCATGGAGCACCTATGTTCCCCCACTGCCCTCTACAGTTCTGCCTCCCCAAGCCCTACACACAGAGGCCTTGTCCTTCTGAAGAGAACCCCCTCTCTCCAGTCTCTCCACACAGTGAGTTCTCTTCTTTGTTAAAGAGAGAGTTAAAGGGCCCTATCATACACCTGGTGCAATGCGGCGCAAGGCACGGACGCAGTTCTCATTTTCCCGTCCTGCACCGCGTTGTTTAAATAGAAAATGTATTCGCGCCCATTTGTGCGCCCATGGGCGTGCTGGTCTAAAAAAGAGGTGTGTTCAGGCGCATTGTTGGCGCATTGCTATTTTGAGGAACTGAAAATTGACTGTGCCATAGACCAACTCAAACCTAGTCTAAAGTCTGGTGCAATATTTTTTCTTTGTTATTTAAAGAGTGTGTTAGTAATATGTGCCTATAGGCTGGTGCACAACGCACGTACACTTAGCTTATTACACACACAGGGACATGCAGCAGCACACAAAAATTTTTAAAAATGAAAAATTACATTCCGCCTTGTAGATAGCGAACCCACCATGGCGCGAGTGCAACTGGCTTTTAAAGGGGATGGGAGATGAGACTGATTGGTTTATTGCACGTTACGGCCAAAAAACACCCATTACTCATTAAAGGTGACATATCATGAAAATCTGACTTTTCCAGGTTTTAAGTGCTATAATCAGGTCCCCGGTGCATCTACCAACCAACCAACCAACTTTGTTTTGGCAAGGGTCTGAGAAAACGAACACGTCTGATTTCGCTCCCTTGGTAGCATGGCAAAGGGATCTCATTATAATATTACCGCCCCTTAATCTGTAAGTTTCCACCCACAGCGTCGTCATTGTGTTTTCGCAAGCGACAATGGTGTACCAGCTCTAATGCCATGGTGAAAGTTTGAGCAAAACATACTAACTGTTCTGCCTTTGTCTGCACATACCAGCACAGAACACTATTTAGATTCCCAGCCTCAGAGAAGACAAGAGAGCAGTGGATTTATTGATTTATTTAATGTATATTGCTGCTGCCACACAGATCTAAAATAAACATTAGATCTAGATTTATTAGATTTATTTCCCTTCACAGACATAACCGACTGTTTTTGTAACTCATGTGTGTTTTTAATGTAAACGTCTGTGTGAATGAGAACTTTAGAGTTTAGTACTCACATGCTGTGACAGCCACTTTCTGTCCGTGTGCTTCGGATGTGTGTTCTCAGAAAATCATATATCAGAAGTTTAAACTCATATGGTTTAAACCGCATGATTTCAGCGCGATAAACATGATAATCAGAACCATAACAGATGTTTTTTTAGGAGGTCCGAGCTGTAATGGCGCAGCTCTATTCTGGAAAAGGGGGCGGGGAGCAGCATCTCATTTGCATTTAAAGAGACAGGCCCGAAAAACAGCGTGTTTCTGCTTCCATTCAAAATAGGCATTTTCAAAATGATATAATAAATGATCTGTGGAGTATTTTGAGCTGAAACTTCACAGACACATTCTGGGGACACCAGAGACTTATATTACATATTGTAAAAAGGGGCATAATATGTCTCCTTTAAGAGAATAGGGACAACCTGTTTAGACCATGCGCCCGGGCACGCTGACAGTTTTCCCGTCGTTAAACTAGCAAAAGTGGATTCGGACATGCCCTGAGTGCACCTGCGGGGTGCGCTTTAGATCATGTGCTTAGATCGTTAAAATAGGGCCCAAAGAGTCCACCTACAGTAGCACCCCCACGCTTGCAATACCATGTGAGATAGGGTGACCATGCGTGCCATTTTTACGAGACATGTCCTAGCCAGGATTTCTGTATTGCTTAAAATATCCAGGTTTTGGCTCTTTGCGCTGCACAGACTGATCTGTGTATAACATCCGTGAGAGCTATAGAGAACAAACGGTTCCTTATGCTTTCGAATCGCTCTTGCTGTACTTTGATGTCATACAATGATCGCTCTGTGCAGTGCTGCTTCAAGTATGCGTATTTGCATCTATTTGACTGTTCTCTGTAGATCACGTGCCATGATTGGTCAATTATGCACAATGCCTGCATGCTATTGGTCAAGCTACTTTTTTCAATACTTAACTTCAGCTAGTATAAAAACAGGAAAACAAAGCCAAATACAGAAATCCTGGCAAGGACATGTCCCGTAAAAATAGCACGTATGGCCACCCTAATGAGAGATCATTTAGACTGTATCTCTGGCTTTGTTTAACGAAACTGCAAAATATCACATGGTTTGTCTGCTGACCCCAATACATCTGCAGACTTTTAAAAGCCTTTCACATTGAATGTGAAAATTTGGTGTGAATGTTCGGTGCAATGAAGCTCTTAAATCAAAACAATTGTTCTCTATGGAGCTATTCATACTGTGCAAAGATTTTATTTTTTTTACTTGTGTGTCTATTTTCTTCCCCCGTCGCTCCGCGATGAAACAGACCATACGATTAGATTTGGGCTTAGATCACATGCCCAGAGCAGCTGCTGTTGCACAAAAGGGCAAGAGTGGTGGCGCTGTTTCAAAAACCAGTGTAAACAAACACTGAAGAAGAGCATCCCAGAAGAGAGTAGTTTGTGGATGCTGAGTTCTTGTTATCATTGGAATCTGAGAATAACACAGTCTTGTGGACCGAACAGAACAAACTAGAAGCAACTGCTTTCAATTTAAAGGGGCCAAGATGCATGTTTACTAAATTTACTTGCAGAGGAAATTAGGTTGTAGAAAATAGAATGCTAATAGAATACTAAAGGCTAATTCAAACAGACAGACGCTAACCAACAGTAACAGAGACATTCATCGGGTTTAGTAAAATCAGTGTCTTACCCTTCTTAGTGTCTGTTGCCATGGGTTGCCACTGGTTTTGGACAACTGAACACGTCCATTCGCTGTTTGTCAGGTCATGCAATATCTGAGAAGTGAAGCAACGGTAATCTAGTGTTGGCCGGTGTCTACCGGTGCAGTGAATTAAGCCCAATTTATACCTCTATGTCAAAGCTGCGCCATAGCTACTGTACGTCGAAGGCTGTGTGTAGAACACGTAGCCTACGGCGTAGACTGACATGCACCTCATTAGATATGTATAGGTAGATGCCACATTCGACCACTCCAGACATGTTGATGCATCCGCCATCTAGGGACGGTCTATATGTCATCACTCACAATGAAAATCAACGAGTTTCAAGATGCAACCAAATCCAAGTCAAATCCAATTGTTATTTTATGTATGTTAATGTATATTACCCAGATAGCACCATACGTCTGCAAGATGTCTGTTAATGATCGTCTGGACAGCATCTGCTGTGTATAAACACACACAAAGATGTCAGTATTTACATACATTCTAAATCATAAACATCTCAAAGACATCTTCTAAACATCTATTTGACATCTGATAGGAAACATCTTATAGACGTATTGCGGATGAGCAAACACTGAAAAAAAGATGTCTTACAGATGTAAATGCAGACGTCTCTGTGATGTACGTGTGCTATCAGGAAATGTATATTATAAGAATACTGTGTTTCAAAGCTGTGATGTTTTTCTGCCACCAGGAGTCTCCTTTGGCTCAGTTACGTAAAGCATCTTCTGTCCAGAGTCTCCAGTCCCCAAAGGGGAAGTTTGAACGTTCCACTATTTTAGGAGAGTTACCACTGCTGAGTTTGGCACCAAGGTGCGTAATATTGGATGTGATAAAGGCTCTATACAATGTTATTAGGGATACACCCCGAGCAGGTTGAAAATCGATGCAAATATGTGCGGATTCAAATCGAAGGTAAAACGAATCTCTGAGGGGAACTGGAAACTTTAGAAAAGTTTAGATGATATTTTCTTTTCATCTTGCCTCTGTATAATGCATCAAGGAAACGCTATATATTGCTGCTGTACCATAAGCGCCACCTGCTGTCAGATAGTGAATTTGCATTTTCATTCAGTCTTTGTTTCGTGCAGATGTTTTATGTAGTATAGTTTCACAAAACTAAAGTAAGAACATTCTGTTTTGCTTCAAATTTCGAAATTACACGATAATTTAGATTATGCTTCATGTATGCATCTTTGTTTTGATTGTGATTAAAATACAGTGGTTTCCTCTAATTTTAAATGGAAAGAGCACAGGCAAAGAATTAGTTTGAATGAAGAGATTTATTTTATTTGTGTCATTTATTTATTTGATTTGTTTTAAAATTTCGATTTAGTTTTGTTATTTGACATATTTCAATTTCACAAAGAAATGTGCAGCATTGTGTCCAAGCAATAATAAAAGGACACCGTATCATTTATCATTTTTAAATAAATCCCATTTTATAAAAAAAAAAATTGTGAGAAAGTTGTACCGTGAATCGTATCGCATCGTGAGTTGAGTGAATTGTTACATCCCTACATGTTAGCATTATAGACTTATGCCTCAGCTATGTGATCTCTTGATTCTGTTAAACCATACTGCATATGTCAGATTTCTGATTGGGCTGTTGATATCTGTGTTTCAGGGAGCTTCAGACGGAAGAGAACATAGAGTTTGGGCAACTGGTACAGGCCTCTCCTGATGGAACTTTACTGATAGAACTGACCAGACCTGCCAACAATGGACCCTTTGGCTTTGTCATCTCCAGGGTCAAAGGAAGACCTGACTCAGGTTTGACTTCTAGTTCCCCCACATTTGCCTCCATGACACTGAAGAAAAAAAACATTTTTGTGATGTTTCAAATCATTTAAAGTTACTTTATCAAAATCAGTTATGCTGTTTTATAGGTATATATGTGGAACGGGTCGGAGACACTGCCACAGAGAATATCTACACTGGACTCCTGGGTGTTGGGGATGAGATTCTAGAAGTCAATGGGGAAATCGTTGCTGGACTGACCCTAGATCAGGTTACACGCCTCATGACCCGTGATAGCAAAGCCACAATCCGGATCCGTCCACATTCCTGGAACAAGCACTGATGCAAATTATGGAAAAAATACGGAAGATGGAATTATAAAGATATGATCACATATAAGGGAAACTTTACAAAGCACTTATAGACACCCAGATAGCATACGTACATCTGCAAGATAATTCTTCTCCCCCAAGTTACGTCTTCCGCCATTTTGGAGAGTACCCAAGAGAGTAATCGACGTAATCAGTGTTATTTACGTTCGGGGGAGAAAGCGCATGCATGAACGTAATCTGCATAATCAGCTTGTTTATGCTTAGGGGAAAGCGTGCATATCCATTGTGATACTCCCTAAAATGGTGAAAGACGTAACTCGGGAGAAGAATTGTTGAAAAAAAAATTATTTTTGTTTTTGCGCTCAAAAAGTATTCTCGTAGCTTCGCAAAACTGAAGTTGAGCCACTGATGTCACATGGACTGTTTTACCGATGTCCTTGCTACGTTTCTGGACCTGGGAACATTACAGTTGCATTGCTGTCTATGCAGGGTCTGAGAGCTCTCACATTTCATCAAAAATATCTTAATTTGTGTTCCGAAGATGAACGAAGGTCTTACGGGTTTGGAACGACATGAGGGTGAGTAATTAAAGGGTTAGTTCACCCAAAAATTA